GCCTGTGTCCCGGGGTATCCCTGCGGATCCCGCTGTATCCCGGGGTATCCCAGAGCTCCCCCCCCCCGCACGCGCAGCCTGTATCCCAGGGTGTCCATGTGGATCCCGGGATATCCCTGTGGATCCCGCTGTATCCCAGCGCCCCGCCCCGCACACACAGCCTGTATCCCGGTATATCCCTGTGGATCCTGCTGTATCCCGGGGTATCCCATCACCCACACGCCGCCTGTATCCCGGGGTATCCCTGCGGATCCCGCTGTATCCCGGAGTATCCCAGAGCTCCCCCCCCGCACACACAGCCTGTATCCCGGTATATCCCTGCGGATCCTGCTGTATCCCGGGGTATCCCATCACCCACACGCCGCCTGTATCCTGGTGTATCCCAGCATCCCCCCCACTGTATCCCAGTGTCCCCCCCCCACTGTATCCCAGTGTATCCCATCACCCCCGCGCCGCCTGTATCCCGGGGTATCCCGGTGTCTCCCAGCCCTTCCCCACACACGCCACCTGTACCCCAGTGTCTCCCACTGTATCCCAGCGCCCCCCCGCGTGTGCCGGTGCCTCCGGCCGCGCGCCGGTACCGGTGTTGGGGTCGCAGAGGAAGGAGCAGAGGGAGCCGCGGTCGTCGCCGGCCCACAGGACGCGCCCGGCGCCGTCGAAGCACAGGGAGAGCACGCGGCCCGGGAGGCGCCCGGCGCCGCCGCGCGCCGCCTTCCCCGTGGACACGTTCACCACGCGCAGGGCGCCCGACGCGCTGCCCGCCTGGCAACACCGCGGGGGCCGTCACCCGCGGGGCTGTCGCTGTCACCCGCGGGGCTGTCACCCGGGGGCGCCTGTCACTGTCACCCGCGGGGCTGTCGCTGTCACCCGGGGGGCTGTCGCTGTCACCCGTGGGGGCTGTCACTGTCACCCGCGGGGCTGTCGCTGTCACCCGCGGGGCTGTCGCTGTCACCCGGGGGGCTGTCGCTGTCACCCGTGGGGGCTGTCACTGTCACCCGCGGGGGCTGTCGCTGTCACCCGCGGGGCTGTCGCTGTCACCCGGGGGGCTGTCGCTGTCACCCGCGGGGGCTGTCACTGTCACCCGCGGGGGCTGTCGCTGTCACCCG